GCACAAACGGGTGGTGGGTCAGATTTGGCCTGGGGCGTAAAAATAGTGAAAGAGCAAGCCACAAATGAAAAGATACTGAAATGTATGTAATTTATAGACTTGTATGACTCAATAAGAAAAAAGTTAACCTTATTTATAGAAAAATGGGCAAAACTGGCCAGGCTTGGTGGCTCACACCTGTAATCCCAGCACTTTGGGAGGTGGAGGCAGGTGGATCACCTTGAGGTCAGGAGTTCGAGACCAGCCTGACCAAAATGCAGAAACCCCCATCTCTACTAAAAGTACAAAATCAGCTGGGTGTGGCGGCGCATCCCTGTAATCCCAACTACTTGGGAGGCTGAGGCACGAGAATCACTTGAACCCGGGAGGCGGAGGTTGCAGTGAGCCAAGATTACACCATTGTACTGCAGCCTGGGTAACAAGAGCGAAACTCTGTCTCAAAGGAAAAAAAAAGAAAAAGAAAAATGGGCAAAACCAATTAATAGGAACTTTGCAAGAGAAGGAACACAAGTGACCATTAACATGGGAACAAAAATGTATTCCACCTCATTAGTAACTGGGGAAGTGCAAATGAAAATTGCATTGGGATATCATTTCATAATACAGAATTGGCAAAAAAATTTTAGGGTCAGATATTACCAAGTGTTGGGGAGGTTGTGGAGCTACAGGAACTCTTATACTCATTCACTGCTGTTGGTAAGAATATTATCCTCTTTGGGCCAGGTGCAGTGGCTCATGCCTGTAATCCCAGCACTTTGGGAGGCCGAGGTAGGCGGATCATGAGGTCAGGAGATCAAGACCATCCTGGCCAACATGGTGAAACCCCATCTCTACTAAAAATACAAAAATTAGCTGGGTGTGGTGGCGTGCGCCTGTAGTCCCAGCTACTTGGGAGGCTGAGGCAGGAGAAATGCTTGAACCCGGGAGGCAGAGGTTGTGATGAGCCAAGATCGCGCCACTGCACTCCAGCCTGGTGACAGAGTGAGACTGAGTCTCCAAATAATAATAATAATAATAAATAAATAAATAAATAAATAAATAAAACAGAACCACAAACTGGATGGCTTAAAACAAATGGATGCTCTCACTGTTCTGGAAGCTAGAATTCTGAAACCAAGGTGTCAGCAGGCCTGCGTTGTTGCAGTTCTAGGAAGAATCCTTCTTTGCTTCTTCCCAGCTTCTGAGGGTGGCCAGCGATCCTTCTGTTTGGGCCTTACAGCTGCATCCCTCCAGACTCTCTGCCTTTGTCATCATACATTCTCTGTGTGTCTGTCTTTACATAGTCTTCCCTCTCAGAAGGACACCTGTCCGATTGGAGTAAGGGCCCACCCTACTCCAGTATGACTTCATTTTAACTAATTACGTCTTCAGCAGTCCTGGTTCTAACTAAGGTCACCTTCTAAAGTTAGGACTTCCACTTGCTTTTTAGGGGACACAATTCAATCAATAACAGGGAGATAAGGCCGGGGTTATCTTCCTGTTATTGATTGATAACATCCCTTGCTATTATCTTAATTTTTATTCTTTTATTCTTTTTTAATGAGTTTACTAGGAAATTATTTTAGATGTCTCCTTCTCACTTAGCAAGTGAGTAAATAAAAAGTTTAAATGAACTTAATTTAATGTTTATAAGCCCAGCACTTAGGGAGGCCAAAGCAGGAGGATCGCTTGAGCCCAGTTCAAGACCAACCTGGGTGACACAGTGACACACTGTTTCTACAAAAAATTTAAAATTTTCCAGGTGTGGTTGTACACGCCTGTAGTCCCAGCTACTTAGCTGGTGAGGCAGAAGGATCACTTAAGGCCAGAGGCAGAGGTTGCAGTGAGCCATGATCACACCACGGCACTCCAGACTGGACGACAAACAAACAAACAAAAAAAGTAGCAGAAGGATAATGTTTTATCTAATTAGGATTCAAAATTAGCATTCCTTATCATCAAATTGATCACAAATGCTCATCTGTAGCAATCAATCTTAGCTCCAGGGCCAGATTTGGCCTGGGGCCATCATTTGCGGACTGTTGATTTAGACTCAGACCTAGGTACTAGGAATAATGAAAAAACAAGGGAATGAATAATAACATTTAAGGTAGTTTTCGTTCTGTGGGGTGGGGGAAGGAAGGAGGATAGAGTTGGAGAGGAATATACAGGTGGCTTCTGGGGTATTGGTAATATTCTATTTCTTGCCTTGATACTACTGTTCATTTTAATTTTGTTCATTAAACAATACACATTGTTTTACATGCTTTTTATATGTGTGTTATATTTCACGAAAAATAATTTCAACCTCTCTGACTCCTCCCCACTTCTCCACCCTCCCTCCTTCTTACCAAACCAATTATTCCTTATTTTAAAACTGCTTCCCACTTTTACCTCTGATCTCTTCTGGAGTGTAATCCTCTGGGTTGTGCAAGAGCTTTATGTTCTTTTATTAACAAACCTGTTAATCTATTACCAATCTCAGGTCATCCCTTTTTCTTTGTCGTTGTTGCTTTTGCTCTTCTCTCTCCATTCTTTTCCTTAAGCAGACTTTTAAATTTGCCCTTAGAAAGTAAAAAAGAAAGTGGGTTTCCCTTGCTGTTATCTTACTTTATTTTATTCTTTTAGTTTTTCTTTTATGAGTTTACTAGGAAATTCTTTTAGATGTCTCCGTTTCACTTAGCAACTGAGTAAGCAGAAAGTTTAAGTGAACTTGAAATGGTGGGAGGCCAGGGTGGGAGGATCACATAAGGCCAGGAGTTTGAGACCTGCCTGGGTAACATACCAAGCCCCTGTCTCACAAACAGTTTTAAAAAGTAGTTGGGTATGGTGATGTGCGCCTGTAGTCCCAGCTGCTTGTGAGGCTGAGATGGGAAGATCACTTAGGCCCAGGAATTCAAGGCTGCAGTGAGCCATGGTTGCGCCACTGTACTCCAGCCTGGGTAACAGAGCTGTCTGGAAAAGAAAAAAAAAAAAAAAAAAGCACGTAGGAGTTCAAGGCCAGCCTGGGTAAGATGGTGAGACCCCATTTCCATTTAAAAAAACAAAAACAAAAAACAGGCTGGCCGGGTGCGGTGGCTCACACCTGTAATCTCAGCACTTTGGGAGGCCGAGGCGGGTGGATCATGAGGTCAGGGGTTCAAGACCAGCCTGGCCAACATGGTGAAACCTCATCTCTGCTAGAAATACAAAAATTAGCTGGGCATGGTGGTGCACACCTGTAGTCCCAGCTACTCGGGAGGCTGAAGCAGGAGAATCGCTTGAACCTGGGAGGCAGGGGTTGCAGTGAGCTGAGATCGCGCCATTGCACTCCAGCCTGGGCGACAGAGCGAGACTCCATCTCAAAAAACACGCACACACAGAGCACACACACAAAAATAATGAAATGGGCACAGGGACCTGTCAGTACATTTGAATCAGAATATTTCAGATCAACCTGCAGCAATTTGTGAGACTTCTCAGTTTGTTTATTTAACAGCTCTTTTGAGATGTGATTCACGTACCACACTATTCACTCATTTAAAATATGCAATTCATTGGCTGTTAATATATTCACAGAGTTGTGCAGCCATCACCACAGTCAATTTTAAAACCTTTTAATCATCCCAGAAAGAAACCCCTCAACCCTCCGTTGTCAGCCTCCAACCCCTCCCACTTCCAGCTCGAGGTAACCTCTGATCTTTGTGTCTCTATAGGTTTGCCTATTCTGGACATTTCATGTAAATGGCATCATCTGTGGTCCTTCATGACTGGCTTCTTCCACTTAGCAGAATGTTTTTGGTTCATCCATGTTGTGGTTTATAGCAGTACTTTATTTCTGAACATTATTTCATTGTATGCATGGCTACACCACATTCTGCTTATCTGTTCATCAGCTGATGGACATGTGGGTTGTTGCCACCCTGGCTATTATGAGCGTTCGTTGAACAATTGTTTGTTTTTAGATAATTTCTTTTAAGTGGCATTTAGTCATTGTGGAAAATTTGAAAAATATTAAAGAATATAAATAATATGATAAAATTTACTCAGAATCCCGCCACTCAAAAAAAAAGCTTTATTGACATGTTTTCTGTGGGAAAAAAATGCACGTTTATATAATTTGTTTTATAATTCTTCATTTCTCTTGAAGATTTGCTTTGCGTTTGAACAGGTTTTGTTTGCCAAATCACAGCAAGACTGGCCAACTGCAGTTGTCGTAAATAATTTATAAGTCATTGTGCAGTGGGAGTACAGTGGAGTTATCTGCCATCAGATGGGCATGGGGAGGGTTTAGAGAAAATTTCAGAGGAGGAAACATATATTATAAAAATATGTATGAGGTTCTGATACCCATCAGTAAATAAAATATTGGGTCTTCTAATAAGGTCATTTTGTTCTGTTGTAGGAGGCTGGCAGGATGTACAGTCTTTATCACAGGTGCAAGCCGTGGCATTGGCAAAGCTATTGCATTGAAAGCAGCAAAGGATGGAGCAAATATTGTTATTGCCGCAAAGACCGCCCAGCCACATCCAAAACTTCTAGGCACAATCTATACTGCTGCTGAAGAAAGTGAGTGTGACAGTGCCATTTGATAAAATGTCTTTCTAGTGATTTCAATACATAGAGAATTTGCTGGAGAGTTTAGATAAAGCTGTTTGAAAGCTACCCTGAAAATAATTGTACCTAGTGAAAGAAGTATTTATGTTGTCACCTTGGGGCAGTGCTTCTTACCATTTTTCTCCTCCAGCACTTTTAAGCAATGTGAGAGATTCCATTTAAAAATCTTATTTCATGGCTTGGCGTGGTGACTCACACCTGTAATTTCAGCACTTTGGGAGGCTGAGGCGGGTGGATCACCTGAAGTCAGGAGTTTGAGACCAGCCTGGCCTACATGGCAGAAACCCCGTCTCTACTAAAAATACAAAAATTAGCTGGGTGGGGTGGTGCACACCTGTAATTCCAGCTACTCGGGAGGCTGAGGCAGGAGAATCACTTGAACCTGGGAGGTGGAGGTTGCAGTGAGCCAAGATCATGCCACTGCACTCTAGCCCGGGTGACAGAGCGAGACTCTGTCTCTAAAAAAAGAAAAAAAATCTTGTTTCATGAGGGCAGTGGTTCTTGGATGGGAGGGTGAGTGGGGAAGTAGAATGGAGAGAATTTGATTGGCAAGTGGCATGAACTCTTTGAAAAAGCTTTATGTGTTATTTATTCTCTGCACAATTTGCAAGTCATCATTTTAATAACTTTTAGTTGACAAATAATTATCACATACTTCTATTTAAGGCATGGTGCTAGGCACAGAGCCAGGAGAGAGGGCTTAAAAATTCAACTTCAGTTGACATTGCTAGTTTTGTTAGTCATGTTCAGAGCACTGTGGTTATGTTAGAGGAATGCATGTGAAGTGTTTATGAGTGAAATGATGTCAGGGATTTGCTTTAAAACACACCAGCAAAAAATAAAATAGGGGAAAGGAAAGATAAACATATTAACTGACAAAACTAACAATCATTGAAGATAGATGATGGGTTCCTATTAGTTTATTATAGCATCTTTACATTTTTGTATACTTTAGAATATTTCCACAATAAAAAGTTTTTTAAAATTACTTTCAACTGAGTGAGGTGACTCATGCCGGTAATCCCAGCACTTTGGGAGGCTAAGGCTGGTGGATCACTTGAGGTCAGGAGTTCCAGACCAGCCTGGGCAACATGGCAAAACCGCGGCTCTACAAAAAATAGAAAAATTAGCCTGGCATGGTGGTGCACGCCTGTAGTCCCAGCTACTTGGAAAGCTGAGGTGGGAGGATCCCTTGAGCCCAGGAGATTGAGGCTGCAGGGAGCCATGTTTGTGCCACTGCACCCGAGCCTGGGCAAGAGAGTGAGACTCTGTTTGAAAAACGAAAACAAACAACAACAACAAAAAACTTCCTTTTTTTAGCTTTTTAAAAACAGTTACAAAGAAACCGCCACCAAACCTTCGTTTTTGTTTTATAATAGTGTTGGCCTAGCTAGTCTGTCCTACTATATGGCAGAGTCACTGGTGGTAAGATAGAGTTATTTATATTGATTTTCCAAACACAGGGTACTTATTTCTTTTGACCGTGATATCGGAATCAAAGGTATAATATTTAAATGCTTTAACGCTTTTTCGTTTTGTATCCTTTACGTAAGTTGAAGCAGTTGGAGGGAAGGCCTTGCCGTGTATCGTTGATGTGAGAGATGAACAGCAGATCAGTGATGCAGTGCAGAAAGCCGTCAAGAAATTTGGAGGTAACAACTTCATTCTGAAAAAATTATTGAATATTGGTAAAATAAAGGTGTAACTATAATGTTAATTTAAAAATTTGTTTTGATTCTTGAATTTTCTGAGTCGTTGGAGAAATAATGTATTCGTTTACGCAGAACATGGTTTAAAGGCATCTGATGAGGCTGGGCGCGGTGGCTCATACCTGTAATCGCAGCACTTCAGGAGGCCGAGGCAGGCAGGTCACTTGAGGTCAGGAGTTTGAGACCTGACCTGGTCAACATGGTGAAACCCCGTCTCCACTAAAAATACAAAAATTAGCTGAGCATGGTGGTGTACGCCTATAATCCCAGCTACTCAGGAGACTGTGATGGGAGAATTGCTTGAACCTGGGAGGTGGAGGTTGCAGTGAGCTGAGATTGCACCACTGCATTCCAGCCTGGGTGACAGAGTAAGACTCCATCTCAAAAAAAAGAAAAGAAAAAAAAGTGTAGAGTGATAGACTGTGGAGACTGGGAAGAAAGAAGGGATGGAAGAGGGGTGGATGAAGAGAAATTACTTAATGGATACAATGTTTGCTGTTTGGGTGATGGATACCCTACAATCCTGGACACTTCACAATCTATGCATGTGAGAAAATTGCACTTGTACCTTATACATTTATTTTTGGAAAAATTCTTCTTTTATGTGGTTAAATCTCATCTTCACAAAGTCAGTTCCCTCACCATGCCAACTAATCAGAAGTATATTTTTCTTTCTCTGATTTCTTTTTTTCTTTTTTTGAGACAGTTTCACTCTGTCACCCAGGTTGGAGTACGGCATAATCTTGGCTTACTGCAACCTCTGCCTCCCAGGTTCAAGCAATTCTCCTGCCTCAGCCTCCTGAGTAGCTGGGATTACAGGTGCCCGCCACCACGCCTGGCTAATTTTTGTATATTTAGTAGAGACAGGTTTCTCCACATTGGCCAGGCTGGTCTCGAACTCCTGACCTCATGGTCCACCCACTTCAGCCTCCCGAAGTGCTGGGGTTACAGGCGTGAGCCACCACGCCCGGCCTCTCTGATTTCTTAAAACATTCCTTTGATCCTTACCTTGTACTATTTTAGATCTTAGTATTTCTTTTCTCCCCAGTTAGTTGAAAAGTTCCTAGAAGAGAGGTGTTGGGGATTGAGCTAAGGCTTTCATGGTATTGTAGTAGTGCACCGAGGCATGTCCAAATCCTGCCTAAACCATTACCACTCTCCCCACTAATGCTCTGGAGGACGATGTGTACATGTGAGGGACAATGGCCAGTGGAAAATGAGGTAATGCTTCAGTGTTAGCAAGGCTGTACTTATAATCCCAGTACAGAGTGCTGGGGGGTGCTGGACTGAAGCACGAACTTTGGCTCAAGTGGGGCCTCTTCCCTTAAATCCAAAATCTTACCCCTAGCTGGCAGCCTTTCCCAAAGAAATGTGAATGCCTGTGTCAGAAGAGGAGAGAAAATGCAAAATGATGTTTGTCCAACGGATAGGACCCTAGTTGTGAAATGTGCCACACTCAACTGCAGGATATTTTATCTAAAATGACTTCACCTAGTAGTAAAAGTGGCTAACTAGTGCCACTTAGGATTTGATGTAATTACTTTATCCACTAATTTTTGGGGAGGAACTAAGGGGAGAAAGCTGACTTTTCAATTCTCCCATATTCATTCAGTTTTAGTTCTTTTTTTTTTTTTTTTTTAAACAGGGTCTCATTCTGTCACCCAGACTGGTGTGCAGTGGCATGATTGTGGCTCACTGCAGGCTTGGCCTCATGGGCTCAGGTGATCCTCCAACCTCAGCCTCCCGAAAGGCTGGGACTATAGGCGCCCACCACCAGGCCTAGCTAATTTTTGTATTTTTAGTAGAGATGGGGTTTCACCATGTTGGCCAGTCTGGTCTCAAACTCCTGACCTCAAGGGATCCACCCGCCTCAGCTTCCCAAAGTGCTGGGGTTACAGGCATGAGCCATTGTCCCTAGGCTTGCGTTTATTATTTAACTTTTAAAAATTGTGGTAAAATACACATAACATAAAATTTACCATCCTATTTTTCAGTGTACAGTTCAGTGACGTCCAAGTTTATTATATTGTTACACAACTATCATTAAGTGCACCTTACAAAGAATAATGAAGACCAGATAGAAACAAATAAAAAATGTTTGACATAGTTTTTGTATTTTACCATTTTCCTTTAATGTTATTTCACTAAGCATATAACTGTAAACAAAACTTGTTGCTTATAGGTGGAAGCTAGATAGAATTTGCAGAAATAGTAGTTACTTTGGTTTATTTTGTGTGTGTGTGTATATGAGTCACTAAAACAAAATTGATCCACTTTGATGATTTGCCTGGGATTGAAACAGTAGGTCTTTCTCTTTTCCCAGTTCTCAGGACCAGAAAGCAGCCTTTCCCTTTAAGTGAGGGGCCTTGGGGGAAGGGAGACTACTATGCTTGGAAGGAGGACAGGCCTTTGAAACTTCATGCTAGAGAGGAAGGAAGACTTTAAGGAATTTGATCCAAGGTTTATGGAGACAGGGAGGGACAACCAGGAGGTAAGAGAACAGATAAGAGTGGAAGCTACAAACCACCAAAGACTAAGCCTCCTTTTAGTTTCATGTGGAGCTCTGGCAATTGGCTATGTCTCCATTGTGCTAGAGACAATCATGCAGGTGCTATTTTGAAACAGCTACCAGTCTTGCATTGGTAGTGTTCAGTCATATTATCTAAAAGACGTACAGCCACGCATTGCTTAATGATGGGGATATGTTCTGAGAAAGGCATTATTAGGCGATTTTATGATCTTGTGAACGTAGAGTGTAATTACAGAAACCTAGATAGTCTAGCTGACCACATACCTAGGCTGTATGGCATAACCTATTGCTTCCAGGCTATAAGCCTGTATAACATGTTACTGTACTGACTACTGTAGGCGTTTGTAACCCAACAGTAAGTATGTATCTGAACATATTTAGACAGAAAAAAGATAAAATAAAAATATAGTGTTATCATCTTAAGGGACCATGTTGCATATATGGTCCATTGTTGACTGAGATGTTAGGTGTGGTACATGACTGTATTTGTGAATCAACTGAGGGTTCAGAAGAGAGTAAATGCTTTTTTGGTGTGTGATAAAAAGTCTTACATTAAAAGGAAATTGATTTTTCAATTTTGAAAACAGGAATTGATATTCTGGTAAATAATGCCAGTGCCATTAGCTTGACCAACACACTGGACACACCTACTAAGAGAGTGGATCTGATGATGAACGTGAACACCAGAGGCACCTACCTTACGTAAGTTTGCAAGAAGAGTTGTGGGGGAGGATGTTGTGGTGTTCTCTCAGGGAACTTACTTAGTTGTAAACAGATTTGAGTCAAATTAACAGTGTAGTTCAAAATCTAGTCAATCCTTATAAAGGCCTAAAAGTCCTTCATTCGGTCAATAGTATTATATTTTATTTTATTATTTTTTTATATATATTTTTTTGAGATGGAGTTTCGTTCTTGTTGCCCAGGCTGGAGTGCAGTGGCACGATCTCAGCTCCCTGCAACCTCTGCCTCCCAGGTTCAAGCGATTCTCCTGCCTCAGCCTCCCGAGTAGCTGGGATTACAGGCGCCCACCACCATACCCAGCCAATTTTTTGTATTTTTAGTAGAGACAGGGTTTCACCATGTTGGCCAGGCTGGTCTGGAACTCCTGACCTCAGGTGATCCACCCACCTTGGCCTCCTAAAGTGCTGGGATTAGAGGCATGAGCCACCACACCCGGCCCAATAGTATTTTAAATAGCTTTATTTGGAGCTCCTTTTCTCTATGAATTTAGGAAAGACTAAAGTAGGCTGAGTGCGGTGGCTCACACCTGTAATTTCCACACTTTGGGTGAGGGGAGGATTATTGGAGACCAGGAGATCGAGACTGAGATGCACAAGATCGCAAGACGCTGTCTCTACCAAAAATTTTTAAATCAGGCAGGCATAGTGGTGTGTGCCTACTGAGACCGTGGTGGTGGTCTCATTTACTCAGGAGGCAGAGGCAAGAGGATCCCTTGAGCCCAGGAGTTTGAGGCTGCAGTGAGCTGTGATCATGCCACTGCACTCCAGCCTGGGCAGAGAAAGACTCTTGTCTCCAAAGAAAAAAAAAGGACTAAAGTGTAGCTCAAGCATTTTCTCAAATATTTGCATGTGTAAATACTTACATGTATACTCTGTCTTTCATAGGACACAGTCCTTTCATAGAACTGTTTCTGATTACTGAAGCCAGCAATAGTCTTCTTCCTCTGAAAAAGAACTGGAGTTAAATAAAAAAAAAAAAAAGACTTAGGTTTTAGTTATTTAAATAACAGTAAGGTCATTCTCATTATGAATCACACTTTATTGTAACCAATAAAAAGGCTAACACTTTTTTGGGCTTTGCTGGGGAAATGGAGAATATCAAATGAAAGAACATAGTCCTGATCTGTTCTGGATTCATCAGACAACCCGTCTTATTGTCCATTTATTTGTTTATTTACCCTCTGATTCTATCATTTTCCATGTGAGTATCAGGAGACATCAGGGTAGAACTTGCTTCTGTACCTTACGTGTATCTTATTACACACAGAACAGGTGGTTAGGAGCTCAGACTTTGGAATAAGACTGCTTGGATTCAAATCTTAACACTCACCCTTCATGACTTTCTATTTTGTGACCTTGGACAAGTAACTTAACTTCTTGCAGATTCAGTTTCTTTACTTTTAAAATGGCAATAATAAAGTAGAATGTTATAGGGTTGGTCATGAGGGTTAAATATCTAAGTTATTAAGTTAGAGTCCTGAATTTTTCCCTCAGGTATGTTTTGTTGGGTCTGCAAAACTTGGCCCAGACAGTGTTAAAACAAAATTATTTTCATGAGTTACCTACATTCAAAGTTTTATTAGTTAGGGCCAGGCAGGGCAGCTCATGCTTGGAATCCCAGCACTTTGGGAGACTGAGCCAGGCGGGTCACTTGAGCCCAGGAGTTCAAAACCAGCCTAGACAACATGGCAAAACCCTGTCTCTACAAAAAATAGAAAAATTAGCTGGGGATGGTGGCACATGTGCCTGTAGTCCCAGCTACTCAGGAAGCTGAAGTGGGGGGATTGCCTGAATCTGGGAGGTGGACGTTGCTGTGAGCTGAGATCACGCTACTGCACTCCAGCCTGGGTGACAGAGCGAGACCCTGTCTCAAAAACTTTATTGGTTGCTTATGTTGAAAAAACTAGAAGATTTATGTAAAAGTCCAGATTCCTAGCTTTTCTTGAAATGTTAGAAGATCTGGCCACATAGAGAAGCATTACCACATGGCAATATTGCTGTAGCTGAGTGGCAGGGTATCAACTACCTCATTAGATGGGGCCAGAGCTCTGTTGTCTTCTGGATGCTGAGGACAGGCTAACAAGTTATATCATTGTGTTTACACTGTTGTTTTTTCTTATATGAAAGAGGAAAGTGAAATATTTCTCATAGCCACATCTCTCTCTGAAGTAGGAAAATGAGACTTATGCCAAGAGGGCCGTATATTCAAGTAAAATGGGTGAAAGCTTACTTGTTTGTAGATATGAGGCGTATTTCTACAAATTCACTATGTAAGGTATGTCTCTATTGAATGAAACCATATTGAACCCAACCATAGCAAGAATTATGGCAACTGGCTGGGCATGGTGGCTTTTAATCCCAGCACTTTGGGAGGCCAGCGCAGGCAGATCACCTGAGGTCAGGAGTTTAAGACCAGCCAGGCCAACATGGTAGAAACCCTGTCTCTACTAAAAATACAAAAAATTAGCTGGGCATGGTGGTACGCACCTGTTACTCGACTACTCCGGAGGCTGAGGCAGAAGAATCGCTTGAACCCAGGAGGCAGAGGCTAGATCGCCAAGATCACACCACTCTACTCCAGCTTGGGCGACAGAGTGAGACTCTGTCTCAAAAAGAAAAAAAGAATTATGGCAAGCATATAGATTGTGGTGAAAAACTTGAACTAGAAAAGGAATTCATTTTTCAAGAGTTTGTGTTTATTTTCAAATAAAATAGGCAATGTTGCTATGTGATACTGTCATGGTACTAGAAAAAATTATATGGGAATCAAAATCTTTTACAGCTGGCAACTTTGTGAAATAAGTTCAATTGAAAGTTAAGTAGGCCGGGCGCGGTGGCTCAAGCCTGTAATCCCAGCACTTTGGGAGGCCGAGACGGGCGGATCACGAGGTCAGGAGATCGAGACCATCCTGGCTAACACAGTGAAACCCCGTCTCTACTAAAAAATACAAAAAACTAGCTGGGCGAGGTGGCGGGCGCCTGTAGTCCCAGGTACTCGGGAGGCTGAGGCAGGAGAATGGCGTGAACCCAGGAGGCGGAGCTTGCATTGAGCTGAGATCCGGCCACTGCACTCCAGCCTAGGCAAGAGAGCCAGACTCCGCCTCAAAAAAAAAAAAAAAAAAAAAAGTTAAGTATTTGTTTAAACAAATGCTTAAAAATATAAACCTAGCCAGGAATACTATTGCTCAACATGTTAAACTAAGGCTTAGTTAAGGGCATGTTGTGTGAATAAGTTTAATGATTTCTGGCAGTTTCTATTGTAGATGATGAAGCCACGGATATACATATACAGGTTGAGTATCCCTGGTTTGAAAATCCCAAATCCAGGATGCTCTGAGATCTGAAACTTTGAGTGCTGACTCAACGCTCAAAAGAAATGCTCATTGGAACATTATGGATTTCAGATTTTTGGAGTAGGGATGTTGAACTGGTTAAGTATAATGCAGATATTTCAGAATGGAATCTGAAACAATTCTGCTCCCAAGCATAAGGGTTACTAAACTTGTACCACACACCTAGGTATATGGCGTCAGGAGAATTTCGAAGTGATTAAAAAGGTTTTAGACTGGGTATTCATGACATGAAATGACTTCTAAGGTATTGACAGATATCTTGGCAAGTTTAAGGTAGATTTGTCAAAACTAGTAATCATAACTATAGACAGTGCTGTAGTAGTGGTCAGTGTTAACTTTAGACTTATTAAAAATCTAAACAAATGTAGATATATGTTTTGCAGGGGTGCAGAAATTGTTTGTTCATTGTATCATTTGCTAGGAATTGCTCCCTACTAACAAAGTTAAAAACATACATGTTTTCTTTCCACAAGATGATCAATACAAGTAAAGCACTGAATTTTATGTAGATTTGTCAAAATTGGTAATCATAACTATGGACTTGACGTTTTAAAATGACATTATGACTGATGTGTACATAAATGTATGAGTCTCTTTGTTTTTTTCCTTGTGAAATTATGTCTTTGGAAAGCCCATTTGGCAAAAATAATTTAGTCTACTTTCCTGTATTGAGGTCATTTTTCAAAAATGAAAGTGATGTCTTAACCCACATTTTTAGATGTGAAGGTTCAATTAAAAACAAAATAGACCAGGTGGGGTAGCTCCTGCTTGTAATCTCTGCACTTTGGGAGGCTGAGGCGGGTGGATTACTTGAGCCCAGAAGTTCGAGACCAACCTGGGCAACACAGTGAACCCTGTCTCTATTTAAAAAAAAATTAAAGTTAAAATTAAAACTCTTGCACAAAGATTCTATTCACTATTGAAAGTGCCTACCTTTATAAACAGCTGCATAAAAAAAAATCCACTAAATAAAATTAAATATTGCTCCCAGTTAAAAGCAGATTGCAATGCCAAATGAAAGACCTCACACTGACCTTTGGGTCAAAGAAAAGTGTCAGAGTTTTGGCCTTCTATGAAAGGTATGTTATAAAATGAAAATTCATAATGAAATATTTCTATTTTGGCCAGGCGGGCGGTGGCTCACACCTGTATTCCCAGCACTTTGGGAGGCTGAGGCGGGTGGATCATGAGGTTGGGAAATCAAGACCATCCTGGCTAACACAGTGAAACCCTATCTCTACTACAAATACAAAAAATTAGCTGGGCGTGGTGGTGGCGGGCGCCTTGTAGTCCCAGCTACTCGGGAGGCTGAGGCAGGAGAATGGCGGAGCTTGCAGTGAGCTGAGATCGCGCCACTTCACTCCAGCCTGGGCAACAGAGTGAGACTCCGTCTCAAAAAAAAAAAAAAAGGTGGATTGGCCTGGCATGATGGCTCACGCTTATAATCCTAGTACTTTGGGAGGCTGAGGTGGGTAGATCGCTTGAGTCCAGGAGTTTGAGACAAACCTGGGCAACATAGCAAGACCCTGTTGCTAAAAAAAAAAAAAAAAAAATTACAAAAACTATCTAGGTAGCTGGGCATGCTGGCACATGCCTGTAGTCCCAGCTACTTAGCAGGCTGAGGTGAGAGGACCGCTTGAGCTGGGGAGGTAGAGGCTACAATGAGATGTGATCATACCACTGCACTCCATCCTGGCAGCAGAGACACCCTGTCTTAAAATTAAAAAAAAAGAAAAAGGAGAAGTTAGCTGGTAGCAGTGGTTCACACTTGTAAACCTGTAATCCTGGCACTTCGGGAGGCTGAGGTAGGAGGAGTGCTTGAGTCCAGGGGGTTCAAGACCAGTCTGGGCAACAATGCTAGACCCTATCTCAAAAAAAAAAAAAAAAAAAATTACAAAAATTAGTCGAGCATGGTGGTGCACACCTGTAGTTCCAGCTACTCGGAAAGCTGAGGCAGGAGGATTGCTTGAGCCCAGGAGCCCAGGAACTCAAGGCTTTAGCAAACTGTGATTGAGCCATGCACTCCAGCCTGCGCAACAGAGTGAGGCCCCGTCTCTTTAAAAAAAAAAAAAAAAAAAAAAAAAGGGGAGAAATTTGGAAAGCTGTTTAATTTGACTTGTATTTTCTTTTGCTTTCAGATCTAAAGCATGTATTCCTTATTTGAAAAAGAGTAAAGTTGCTCATATCCTCAATATCAGTCCACCACTAAACCTAAATCCAGTTTGGTTCAAAGAGCACTGTGGTAGGTGGTAGGGTGAGGGGATGGTTTGTGCTTAATTTGTTTTGAATTAAATCTGTGTATGTCTGATGTAATCACAATCTGCACATAACAATCAGCATTGAATTTTCTATGCCAAATCATTAAGTGGCATTTGGAAAGCAGATTCTTAATCTTTTATCTGTAATTTAAAAAACTGAGGCATAATTTACATTCAATAAAATGCCCAGCTCTTAATGGTTCAGTTTGATGAATTTTGAGAAATGTATATAACCAACATCCAAATCAAGATACAGATTTTTACCATTTCAGAAAGCTCTTTCATTTCCCAATGAGTGTGTTTTACTGTGTGTAATTTATTCATCTATAAAGTTGGTTAAAAACTATCTATGGGATACTTTATTTTTCTTAGCCAGGTATGCACCTGTAGTCCTAGCTACTTGGGAGGCTGAGGTGGGAGGATCGCTTGAGCCCAGGAGTTTGAGGCTGCAGTGAGCTATGATCATGGTATGCACTCCCGCCTGGGTGACAGAGAGAGACCCTGACTCAAAAAAAAAAAAAAACAAACACGACAAAAAAAAAAAAAAAAATATTACCTTTCATAGCATACCAATGGTTTAAGGTAAATATGCTAAGCAACAAGATTTACGTATAGGTGCCTCCTTTAAAATAGTTGTATCAAACACTTAGTTTTTATTTCAGCACAATTCACTAACATTTGGAAAGGCACTTGGAATGGGAACCCACAGAGCAAAACTGAAAGTTGTTCCGCTTTAATTGACTAGGTTAAATGCATTTGCAGCCTTTTGTAATGATTGTTTTACTGGCAGCAGTTTCCCTTTAAATAAACACTTTCATACTTAAAAAAAAAAAAGTCCAGACATGGTGGTTCAGATCTGTAATCCCAGCACTTTGGGAAGCCGAGGCAGGCAGATCACTTGAGGCCAGGAGTTTGAGACTAGCCTGGCCAATATAGTGAAGCTCCATCTCTACTAAAAATACAAAAATTAGCTGGGCATGGTGGCACACACCTGTAATCCCAGCTACTCAGAGGCTGAGGCACAAGAATCACTTGAACCAGGGAGGTGGAGTTTGCAGTGAGCCAAGATCACACCACTGTGCTCTAGCCTGGGCAACACAGTGAAAGTGAGTCTCAAAAAAAAAAAAAAAAGGTATAACATTAAGAAATAATAATGTAATTTACCCTTATAGTATTAAGAAAAATGAAAGTTTATTACTGTCACTTTTATTTTAATCAAATATTAGGAGGGAAATATATAAAACGATTTCATCTCTGTTCACTTCTATAAAAACTGTTCTTTAGAAAATAGTACATTTAAAAGTTATATTTTATATTATTGAAAAGAATTCTCAAAAATATATCAGGGAGGCTGAGTGTGGTGGCTTATACCTGTAATCCCAGCACTTTGGGAGACCAAGGCAGGTGGATTGCTTGAGCCCAGGAGTTCAAGACCAGGCTAGGCAACATGGCAAAGCCCTGTCTCTACAACAAATTGAAAAATTAGTCAGGCTTGGTGGCACGTGCCCATAGTCCCAGCTACTTGGGAGGCTGAGGTGGGAGGGTCGCTTGAGCCCAGGAGGTAGAGGCTGCAGTGAGTCATGATTACACCACTGCACTCCAGCCCAAGTGATAGAGTGAGACCTTGTCTCAAAAAAAAAAAAGAATATGTGTATACATATGTATATATGTATGTGGGTCTGTATACATGTGTGTATTACTGTTTTCTTCCTGATATATATCTGTGTGTGGATATGTTGTATGTATATACACGTATATACATATATGTATACACACACATATACACATATGTATATACATACATACACACATATATCGGGAAGAAAATAGTAATAGAAAAATTGGTTATTTCTACTCACAAGTTAATCAAATTAATTTCTTTTATAATTAGATTATTATTTTTTGTGCTTCTTTCAGCTTATACCATTGCTAAGTATGGTATGTCTATGTATGTGCTTGGAATGGCAGAAGAATTTAAAGGTGAAATTGCAGTCAATGCATTATGGCCTAAAACAGGTATGTATTTTTAAAAACTTCATTTGTTAGATTTTCATGTATTGTCCCTGACACTTATTATTTTTTTGATCCGGGGTGGAGTGCAGTGGTGTGATCTCGGCTCACTGCAACCTCTGCCTCCCGGGTTCCAGCAGTTCTTGTGCCTCAGCCTCCCAAGCAGCTGGTCTCAATCCCTTGACCTCGTGATCTGCCAGCCTCGGCCTCCCAAAGTGCTGGGATTACAGGTGTGAGCCACTGTGCCCGGCCTCTTCATTACATTTAAAAAATTTTTTTTGTATTTTTTTTTAGTAGAAAGGGGGTTTTGCCACATTTGCCAGGCTGGTCTTGAACTTCTTGTCTCAAGTGATACAGCCTCCTTGGCCTCCCAAAGTGCTGGGATTACAGGCATGAGCCACTGCGCCAGCCTCATTACATTTTTTAAAACACTTCTAGGCCGGGTGCGGTGGCTCATGCCTGTAATCCCAGCACTTTGGGAGACGAAGGCGGGCGGATCACAAGGTCAGGAGATCGAGACCATCCTGGCTAACACGGTGAAACCCCGTCTCTACTAAAAATACAAAAAATAGCCGGGCATGGTGGCGGGTGCCTGTAGTCCCAGCTGCTCGGGAGGCTGAGGCAGGAGAATGGCGTGAAACTGGGAGACTGAGCTTGCAGTGAGCCAAGATCGCACCACTGCACTCCAGCCTGGGAGACAGTGAGACTCCGTCTTGGGAAAAAAACCACAAAAACAAAGAAAAATCACTTCTACTGATGGCAAATTGGAATCTTTTTCACTGAATTTGCCGGCAGAGGGGGTTTCTAGGAAGATGACTACTGGAAGTCATGTCCCTGCTGTCCCTTCCGTTCCCCTGATTGGAGCAGCTGCTACGGTGGTGGGCAGGTAGGACTAGGAAGGAAGGAGTAGGACTTGATTCTGTAAGGGAAGGAACTGGAGAAGCTTGTGAAAGACTGTTCTCTCTGAGCTAGAGGACAGAATGGAGCCAGGGGAGAGAACTTGAGAAAGAACAGATACTCAGAAGTTCCTGGAGAGGGCTTTGACCATGGAGATCTGAGGACTCAATGGGGTGGCTCAACAGGCAAGGTAAGTATTTCCTATCCTTGAGGTGTGGAAGTGAGGAGACCTCGGAGACTTCATCAAGTCCCAAAATAGATTCAGTGACTAGTATATCTGATATGATAACTTACTACTGCTGGCAACGCTGGCATTGTTTAAACTATCCTGGTGACAGAGCGAGACTGTCTCAAAAAAAAAAGCTACATAAGGGTGAACGGTGCTATGAGGAAACAAAGAAAAATGGTAGTACAGCTAAGAGGACCCAATATCCAGATACAGAAAAAATAAACAGAATACCCAGAATAGTAGTTGTCAGTGAAATAAAACTGCTAAAGAAACAGAAAATACCTCAGTTCAAAAAGAAAAATCATAACATAAGAGATTGAATTATAGTATGAAAAATGCTTTCTGGAACTAAAAATAGATTGTGTTTTTAAAATACATAATGGGCCGGGTGTGGTGGCTCATGCCTGTAATCCCAGCACTTTGGGAGGCCCAGACGGGTGGATCACGAGGTCAGGAGATCGAGACCATCCTGGCTAACATGGTGACACCCCGTCTCTACTAAAAACACAAAAAATTAGCCGGGCATGGTGTCGGGCGCCTGTAGTCCCAGCTACTCGGGAGGCTGAGGCAGGAGAATGGTGTGAGCCCGGGAGGCGGAGCTTGCAGTAAGGCGAGATGGCGCCACTGCACTCCAGCCTGGGCGACAGAGCGAGATTCCGTCTCAAAAAACAAACAAACAAACAAAAAAAAACAAACAAAATACATATATGTATATAGTAGTTGAAGGGTTGGATGTTGAGAAACACCTGAGTAAGCAGCTTGGATAGTCTACTGCAAGAAATATCTCAGAAGAGCAAAAACACCCTGAAGAAAATGGAGAGAGGCTTAGAGGACACATGCAGGGAACTTCACATGCAAATATCAGAAGTCCCAGAAGGATATCTGGAAAGAGAACAAATAGAGGAGAAACAATAATTGAATGACTAATAGGAAACAATTCCCTTGAGTAGAAGAAAGACCGATATGGATGTAGACTAAAAGGTTGACCAGATTTGAGGCTGAATTTATGAGGGGGAGAAAGACATCTGGGAGAACTTCAGAATTTCAAGGATAAAAAAATCTTCCAAGCCTTCAGGCAGAATATATGTTACTTACAAAGGAAAAAGATTGCAGACTCTTTTATCTTCAATGCCAGAAACTAGAAGGCAGTGGAATAACATCTGTACGTTACTGATGGAAAGGGATTCAGCCAAGATAGTTACTTATTGACAAGATGAAGGGAAGATATGTGGATATGCTACCACACTTGAGAAGAGTCTTATAGAAAGGGCTGTTAACCAAGCAGCAAATCTGTCAGAACAGAGAGTTTTCAAGATAGGAGTCAGAAAAAAAGAGGAGAGAAAATAATGGCTAGCAAATAAACCTGTAGTATATTTAATATATGGTCAAATGTACATGGATTACCTAGAATAACTGGGAATATGAAATACAGGTACCAAATATCAACTCTCTACATTGAAGAGATAGGAGAAGAGAAAAGTTTAATACTTGTCTGTAGTATAGGCGCCCGCCGCTGTGCCCGGCTAAATTTTGACTACACTGTCTTCAAAACCTAGATTTTGGGGAAGAGGGAAATGTGGAAGTCATTGAATTCTTTTCTTTTCTTTCTTTCTTTTTTTTTTTTGAGACAGAGTTTTGTTCTTGTCACCCAGGCTGGAGTGCAGTGGCACAATCTTGGCTCACTGCAACCTCTGCCTCCCGAGTAGCTGGGACTACAGGCGTGCACTGTCATGCCCAGCAAATTTTTGTATTTTTAATAGAGAGGGGGTTTCACCATGTTGGCCAGACTGGTCTCAAACTCCTGACCTCAGGTGATCCACCTGCCTCGGCCTCCCAAAGTGCTGGGATTACAGGCATGAGCCACTGTACCAGGCCAGAAGTCACTGAATTCTGAAGGACTCATATGAGCATGGGAAGATTAGGGAAGGGAACGCTTTCTCACCGTCTCGTTTTGAGGCAGCTACAATTCTAGATAGTGTCTTTGTTGTTGTTGGTTGTTTGTTTTTTGAGACAGTCTCACTCTGTCGCCTAGGCTGGAGTGCAGTGGCGCAGTCGGCTCACTGCAACCTCTGCCTCTGAGGCTCAAGTGATTCTTGTGCCTCAGTCTCCCAAATGGCTGGGATTACAGGCACTCGCCACCATGCCCAGCTAATTTTTGTATTTTTAGTAGAGATAGGGTTTCACCATGTTGGCCGGGCTGGTCTTGAACTCCTGACCTCAGATGATCCTCCTGCCTTGGCCTCCCAAAGTGCTGGGATTATAGGCATGAGCCACCACACACACCTGCCCTAGATGGTATCTTTTAAAAAAATTATATTTTCTATTTGGTGCTAGGGTGTAGAAATGTTTTTGCATTTAAACATTATAGGCAGCTATCTTTCTAAACTTTCTTGTTGAGTCTAATAATTTAGAGTCTCTTGGATTTTCTGTGCAGGTAATCATATACTCTATAATAACATTCCAATTCTTATGTCTTTGGTTTCTTTTTTTCTTGCTTTACTGCACTCTCTTCTCTCCTTCTCTCTAGCCTTCACTAGTAGTTTTCTCTTGACTTATTGAGAGCCCAGCAGTGCTTTTAAAAAATGCTTATTGCTTATTTATAGTTTTATTGTAATGAGACAGCCCTTTAGAGTTTATAAGTCATCATATAGTTGATCCATGAACAATGCGGTGTTAGGGATGCCAGCCCCCAGCAGTGAAAAAAAGAAAACGTATTTCCGGA